GCTAATTCCCCCCTCTAACCTCCCCCCCCCCCCCTCGCCCTGACCCACAAAAGCCACATCTGCAAACAGATATACTTTATATAACCGACGTTACATCACCTGGTTCTCTTCCCCTTCTTCTTCTCTCTCTCCCCAAAACAATCCCCACCTTTTCACCTAGCTCTCCTCTTCCTTTCCTCTCATCGTTCTACTTGTCTCTAGCTGTGCATGCCATCTGCACTATTCCTATCCGCCCGTTATTATCTGTCGACGTCGGCACATATATGTGTATTCATACTATACTACTACTATCTCACCTAGCAACGCCCATCATTAGATTACTACCGACATTAACGATGAGCGAGCAAACATGTATGTGCATGCAGGCCCCTCACCATGTCCCATCACACTCGCTCGAGTCAGCCAGCATGGCCCGCTTCCACTCTACACCCATAGCCACATCGCCCGCCTCTAGCTACAACGGCGCATCTTCCCACAATGTCGCTCTACCTCACCCGCAGCCACTAAAGATGAAACCTGAATTCAAGAGGTCCTCGATTTGATCGACGCCTCTGCCTAGCCCATGGAACAGTAGATGGCCGAAGTTATATACTCTGCCGACGTAGTTGTCTTTCATGACAGCATAGGGCCTAGGGCTGCAGAGCCCCCTTTATATGGAGTGGAGCCCTCCTCAGCCTTGACCAGCAACTACGTTCAACAAGGCTCATAATACTTGCGGGGTAGAAATCGACGGCTACCTTCGGTGGACATATAAAGATTATTATCTAGGTCTCCGAAGAATTATTGCCCGCCAGGTCGCCAGGCAGCGCCCTCACTGTGTCGACAACTCTTACCCTGGGCAGGACCGGGGAGGACATCGGGTCTTGCGGTGAGGACAGGTGGGGTCATATACTTAAACGGAGTCAATAGAACTATGTGGTTCGTGTATGGAGCTGATATAGGTGCAAGGGCGCGTCATGGGATATCACTCGAATGCATAAATCGTGGGCCCTGCTTTACTATATTATAGGAGGGTATTGTAAGATGGATTACTATTGGTAACAGTAGGGGTAGACTGGTCCCGGGAAGAATGAGAGCAGACAACGCTTTCCCTTATCAAGGTCCGCAAGGCTCGGAGAGGATTGAATGGGGGTAGCTACTAAGAAATACATCGGACTAGGAAAAACCTATTCTAGGTTCTTTCTAAAATGATTCTCCTAGGCAGGACGCGAACTGACCTGTTTTTACGTTGTTGTAAGGCACGAATAACTACTCTAGCAAAGCGGAGCTGACCAAGGTACTCCTGGCTCACCCCCGGGTGTAAACTTGACTGTCGGCGGTGTGTGCAGTGCACCTCAGCTATGGGATTGGCCATTATCCTCTTGGCACCAATCTATCTATTCTTTTACACACACGACGGTCTTGGTGTTCTTCGATCCCGCCAGCCCAGTCTGTAAATACTCTTGATTTGTGGATACATATCATATGAGCACACGATACACTCAAGGAATTGAACAAGAAAAATACTTTTATCAGATGTAAATGTGATTGGATAGCAGTCGAGGTTGATGGACCTCGCGCCTTCCTGGGCGGGATGTACAGTCGCATGCATCAAGTTCCCGCCGTTCACGATGCAACACCCAACCTCAATACTCGTTACTCAACCACAAGTGAAGATATTTAATAGAGAATACACAGTACAGCGAAAGCTTGCTATAACGGTACGCTTGGGACCGGAATTTGGTACCGTTATAGAGAGATTACCCTGATATAGGAGGTGCTGGTGCTGAAAGCCGCGCAAAAAGGACCGAGAAGTGCTACCGTTATAGAGAGATTACCCTTATAGAAAGTACCGTTATAGCAAGCTTTCGCTGTAGAGTTAAATAGAATATAAAGAAAATGATTTTGAGACTACCATTCCATGTGCCCTCCATTGACTTTGAGACATGCCTCAACCTTTAATGGCAATTTATCTAGCTTTGATTGAGACAATGCTCCCCACTCCTCTTGTGCAGCGATAAAAGGTTCATCATCACGATGAGGTCTTCTCTATCTATAGCTTCATCGCCTTTTTAGTTCACTCTTGAGGATTTTCCATGAATTCTCTATGGCATTGAAATCTGGTGATCCAGTAGGCCAATCCTCCTCCTAACTGGACAGTTTGTATCTTTTTTTATCTGTATAGTATTTCGGCCCATTTTATGGAGAATAACAGCTTGCCACTTGTCATATTTTGAAATCTTTGCAGAGTTCGTGGTGGAGTTGTTATGGTTTGACTCACCATCAAAAAACGGCGGGAACTTGTTGCATGCGACTGTACAGTATCCGGGAGAATTATTGCAAAAGCGGGGTAGGCGAGCGCACTAAAAAAGCCTAGCGAATATCAAATTTTGGGTGGCGAATGATACGAGTGCGAGTGAGTAGAGTGAACGAGCACGAGTGAGTGAACGAGTGAATGGGTTTTCTGTTCTACTATCAAAACAAGACTTCAACGAGTTCCGCTGAATACCATCTGGTGTGCCCGCCGTTGGCAGCAATCACTGCCTGCATGCGTTCTGGCATGTGGATGCACCTGGTAATCTCCTCCTCTGAGATAAGATCCCATTCCTGCAAGATCGCTGCCCTACCCTCTGCTATACCCCTATGGCTTGGTCCTCTAGACCTGTCGTTGAGTTGGTCCTTTAAAATACTCCAGATGTTTTCAATTGGGTTAAATTTAGGTTAGATGATGATATAGGTCACTCCAGAGAAGGAATTCTGAGCTGGTCTCGCACCTCCTGTCAAAGAGTTAGTGGACGGGAGAAAAAAGAGATTAAAGGCAGGCAGAGGTAGTACTACTAGGAGTTCGGATAGAGTACCCGTGTTGACCTTGCAGGATGGGCAGGTGAATTATCCTCCATCGGCCGCAACTATTGTCCAACCCCCTCGCTCTCCCGTAACTAGAAAGCTTGGATATGAGGGATTAGGATATTTTTGCAGTAGGTGTTCGCTGAAATGGTGCCCGAGTCATCTCTCTTCTAGATGATAGTAATCTTCTTCTCTCCTGCTCCCAGAATACCACCCCATATCATGATTGAGTCCTGCTTTGCAAACCTAGGGGCAATACAATCATCGATCCATATTTCAACTTTTCTAGTGACAAACACTCTTCTGCGGTGTCTCCCAGCCATATGTAACGCTCTTTTTTTTTTGGTTTAATTCATTAATTGCATGCACATATGTAACGCTCATGCATACAGATAACTCTTTGCCAGCCTTCTCATTCCAGTTTCGATTCTGAAGGGCAAATTGCAGTAGTCTATTCTCTGGTTTTCGTTCAAGAACGCCTTCTTTTGTATGATGCGCGCGGCGATGGCAACCCTCTTTGGTGAGTGAGGCCTGTAGGATCTTGTCGGGAACCTCGATACCTATCTCTTGTGCTATACTTGAGAGTGGCTTCCTTTGAGATTCTTACCTCAAATACAAACCTACGCGCGGCGGGTAGGTGTATTAATAGAAATGGGGCGTCCGCATCTACCCTCTCTCTGTCGGGTGACGGGAGAGTGACAGATATGCCAAACAGTATAGTAGCTGAAAGCGGCGGTCGGCGGTCTCCACTCGTTGATCACCACGCCAATAGGCCGTGATTCGCGGGAACAGACGAAGGGATCTGAAGGCTTGGACAATGTAGCACCGTACCACTTTTTGTAACTGACATCCTCTGTCCTTACCGATACCATGACTGCAAAGGTGATGATCGATAATGGGTAATCAAGTACGGGTTCATTGGCTTTTAAACTACATTTTTTTCATTTTTTCATTTTTACAACAGAACCCGTGAATCACTGATCGAGGTCGTTATATCCCTTAGGTGTTCAGTCCAAATCGAAATCGTGGCCGCACAAGATATGGTAGTTATGCTCTGATAAACGGAGTCCTGTCTGTTCTGTCCTCGAGTTTCTTCTCACACGCTAGAATGCTCCACCTTTCCCACTAGATACGGAGAGAATGGTCAGTAATTACGTTCAACTGAGCACGCCCGGCCATATCTGGTTCGGTCACGATTTCGATTTGGACTAACCGCCTAAGGGATACTGTCTGAGGCCGTCAACCACTAACTACGGCCGTCAACCACCGACCGTCAGCCTGACCGTCAACTTGAAGCCGTGAATAAAAAAAGCTTTTTACGGCGAGATCCCACTTCGCCGAATTATAGCACCCGCCACTGCACCCGCTAACCCCTGTTTTTGCAATAATTCTACCGGATAGTAGTGGCGGTCGAACTACGAGTGTCGTTCGCTGGCGACTAAATTTATAAACTCAGAACAGAGATTCCGGACACAGGCGGCCGAGATCACAAGATCGCTATTATCGGTAAGACCGGCGGGTCGGGTGGGTTAATCAGTGGTACATGGTGGCGGTGGCAACAGTACCGAGAAATTCGAGAAATGCCTAGGAATGTTTTGAATTTAGGGTACACAATTTGTCCGTGTTCGTAAGCTGCCTGCAATAGGATATCTCACTCGTAGGTCGTTTTTGAAGCCAAAGGAACATAGATATTCTTGTCGAAAAAAAGAAAAAAAGAAAAAGAATAGATGCTAATATCCTAAGCTATCTCGAGCCTTGTATGAAATACTAGCAACTCGTCACATGAGATGGGTGAGCTCGTAGAGCTTGAGAGAAAAGCTCAAGGTGGGATATACATGGGGGCGCCTGGCTCGTCGGCCGGGGGGTTGCGGTATTGTATGAGTTTGGGGAACAAATTACACGAGGCGTGATGGCCTTACAGCCTGACGAGCTAGGATATTGCTGTCTCGTGATTCTCGATAATGACTTTAGAAGACTTTGTTTATCATATTTCTTTTGTTTATCCTGGGGCAGTGTTCAACTGTTTCTAACTACATGATTTGAGCGGCAGAGGATTCACCCCGAAACGCTTACTAACCTGCTCAATTGAACATATCAAATCACACCAGTCCATTTTCATCTATCCCATCTGTGGCCTTATCCAACTGCCGAAAATACCACCACGAACACTCGAACTAAACATCATCCGGATCCCCCACGCACCAACACTCCGGATGACAATCCGTCTCATGATCCGTAAACACCTCACAAAAGCCCTCCTCTCCTCTACCCCTCTTCGGCGTAAGCAACACAATCCCGACATCAAACCTCTCCAACGCATGTTCCCTCACCGTCCCGTCCCTCCATGCATCCATATCGGCCCACACCATCTCCCACGTCTCCTTCGAGTTCGTGGTCAAGGTCCGCCTTCTGGCGCCCTCCTTGCTCGACCCCGCAACATCGACCTTGCTATGTTTTGACTCCAGGAACCACCTGGGCTTCGGCTTCATGCCATTTATTGTAGAGACAGCATCCGAGCCGGCAGTTAGGAGAAGGATCGTCTCTGCGTCAAGTGAAGACATGAGACGCCCAAACGGACTGCCAGGACCAGGGCTGTCAGAGCCAAACCAGCTCCCTATCCATGAACCAAAGCGTCCGAAAAGCGGGCCAATGAGCGGAATAGCCGTCCCTATCCCGATCAGTGTGCCACCGATAGCGGTGAAGACTCCAGTCATCGCCATCGACTGTATCACGGCAAACGCCGAGCCCGCTACCACACTACCGATACCGGATTGCCAACCCGCCGCGATAGAGCCTTATGTAACACCATCAGAAGTAAGTATATTAATATGAAGTATAAGCTAAGCGGAGTGTATATATTGGTGGCGCAGAATTACCCAATATAGGCCCCGCTGGGCCAAACCCAATAGCCAGCGGAACAACAATGGTCGCAATCCCGAGGCCAATCCCGAGGCAGCACAAAGAAAACTTCCACGGGTTCTCTCTTGCGTAGGCGATGAGCTCTTCCCACGCTTCTTTAGGGTGGGCAATGTAATATTGGGCGTTTCGTTTGCCGGCTCGGCCGAGCTTCTTCAAGAGCCACCAGACTTGTTCCATGATTTCGGCTAGGGAAATAGGGGATTAGTAATTTGGTTCTAGAAGCGGGAGAGAGAAGTTGGGGTGGTTCACCCATTGTGAATTAGGTGTTAAGTTTCTCTTCGTTATGGTGAGGATATATTCGGCGGTGGAGGAGTGGGTGTCGATGGTTTTATAATTTACTTGATTGGCGGCACGGTTCAGGCATCCCATAGTTCAGGCCTCCCATTGTTGTAGCTTAGACATACCGTTCATGTGGTTAGTTGTGCTGGCTGGCGGCAGGAGTTTCATGTGCCTCTCCGTGGTTCCCGTTTGGGATATGATATTCTGAACCTGCCTTCAGTGAAAACCCATAATATGACTAGATCGTTCACAATTCTCGTGCGCACGCTGATAACCGGGTGCCGTATAGAGGACTAGCCGCCAAATCATAATTCGCTGTATATAGGATCTCTTCCGCCCCTTGGGGGGGCCAATGTTAGCTTATATCTTCCGCCCTCCGGAAGCGGTAATTACCCTCATTATAACTGCGTGCCTTATCGGCAATGGTCATAGTTATTACCGTGCGCACACCAATCATGGACTGGTATAGGTTCCAAAGCTCCATGATTATGTTTGCTCATTTCCACTCAGGAGCGTAGTGGAACAGATTCAGGGTTAGGGTTATGCCAGGGTTGAGGAGAGCCAGGGGGGCGCCTGTTTCCCCGTCGCGCAAGCGCCCCAACCCCGGTTCATTACAGTCGCCTCTCGATATAAGGATATGGTCGGGATCGAAAATCTTTGTTGAATATATTCTTATAAGGCGAGTATCACTATAAGAAGTAAGGAGATACTGGTAAAAGGGTATTTCGGGACCACCGATTGCTATCATTATAACGAGAGTATCACTGTATGAAGTATCACTATAAAGAGAGTCAACTGTAACTGAATGCTTGGGTTGCGGGGGTTGAGCGGGCGACTTCGGCTATCTTGCCAAAGTCGATATTCGTTATTGTCGCAGAGAATAGACGGTGCTTAAGGATTCCCGTAGTTTCAAGTGGTGCTCGCGTGTCTTCGCCGAGAATGTGCACCTGACGGGAAACTAAGGTGTGCGTTTAAACAAAGTCCTGGCAGTCCCAGCTTTCCTCAGATGCCTCCCCACTGGTGACCCTGTAAATTTGTCAACAGGCTCCGCTGCAGAATGCCCTGGTAGGTACATAATCACTCCGCTTTTATCTTCACAGCAGGCCACTTACTAGCCCCGGCTCGCATATATATCTTCCCTCAACCCTGCGTTCAAGACAGTCTCCTCCGAATTGCATCTTTGAGGTGCAGTAAAAGAAGCGTATCCGATCGACCTCGCTCGTATATTGATGCTGTGAACACGTATCAAGTGGAAGCTCGATCGTAGAAAGCGGCACTTGTGGTGGGGGTATTGAGGTGGGATGGAGTCGGAGGGTGCAGTGTACTCCGGTACAAGGGTTAGAACCAGAACATGCCATGAGGTTATTTGTATGGCAGAGCGGCGCCACTCCATACAAATAATCCCAGTCACTTCACTTGCATGTTCTGGTTCTTATTGCTACACCCGAGTACGTGGGCGGCGTGGTATTTTTGGTGCTGGTATTGCGCGAGGATTTTCGAAGTTCTAGTGAGGAGCGCTATAGTGGGTTTTCCGTTGTTGGGGAGAGTTGAGAGAGTTTTATGTGGAGGGAGTGAGGGGGAGATAAATTGCGTAGTTTCCCGTGATATAGGTGTCAATATATAAAGTTAACCAATATATACTCATCAAGCCAACTCTGGCCGGACCCCCGGTCTCACCACGTGGAGATCACACACATGCAGTTACCAATTGGCGTTGCGTCCTTTTCTGCAGCTGCAGCGCTGATCCTTGCATAAAGCTTAGCTAAGAGATAACTGGGGTCAATATAACTTCAGTCGATATACTACCAATCAGCTGAACCAATTATTCTTTTTGCGGATGTGAGAAGCTGGGTACGTAGCGTACGGGAGTCTCCTTTCCTTCCTTTCTTTTTTTTTTTTTGGGGGGGGGGTGCTTGCTAGGTTCGTGTCTACGAAATTTAAATCCCCGAGTTTAATTTCTGTGCTTGTTAAGCTGGCGAAAGTCCCTAACATCAAGCCATCTACTGCGGGTTGGCGGTAGAAGATGGTCTGACGGGGTGCAGATGTAGGTGGTGCCCCCGACTATGCTTTGTGTTATTAAATGTACTCTACGAATTAGGGGAGGCATCTTGCACACTTAAACGATGTATCACCAACGATCACTCGGTTGGCAACGACTTCTTGGTACAGGGCTAGGGTTAGGCGCATCAGATGCCGGTGCCAACGTTGTAAGAGATCCATCTCTCTGTCACTCGTATCAAGTACCGCAAAAACTCACGAACTTTGCTAGCGGATCTGACCAAAAACTAACTTGTAGAGGAAATATCTGAAGCTGATCTCTGCCTTTCAGCCAATCATCAATGAAGAAATCCTTGCACGGAGATAATCAAGTTGGCGAGTTTCTGCGGTACCCGATCTCACGCCCCACTTGTGATACAAGCCGATAGAAACAATCAGATGTTTCGATGGGCGACTGCATGCAGATCGTACTCTGCAGAGTGTCTCCCCACCACAGGGTTAGGGTTGGCACTATTCAGGCAACCAACCCACCTTCCAGGCTACACCCTCCCCATCATACACTCCTCGAGGCGCTCATATTCTCGCTGGATTGTGCTTTGGCTTTCTGTGGCCTGCGAGGGGTACCAGAATCCACTGTTTGTGGGCTGCGGTAGATATATATAGGCATCCGTGCACCCTTCAGATATCAAAACTGATTATAGCCCCGCCACGACACACATCTCCTCCTCTGTTAAGATCGCCCTTCCACCAAGCGGTACATACCCATTTCAGTCGTGGGACCCTCAAGAGACACGAACCTTCGGTACAGGGAGACAGCATATATACACCGTGCGGTCCTTAACTTAAGAATCCCCACCCTCCCAGATCGAGAGCACGTTTATATATAGTTGGTAGATTTACTGCGTATGCAACAGTCGTCAGTCATGGAGAGTGTCGCCGGATCAAGAATGAGTGATCCCTTGGATGAGTTTGGCGGTGGGGTGTATGCATCGGCGGCAGTACAGGGGAATAGAGCGGTGGGGGATAGGAGGGAGCGATATGCCGGGGAGGAGGAGGGGGAAGGTGAATCGGAGGACGACAGTGAATCCGAGGAGGAAGAGGAGGAGAGCGAATCAGAGGAATCCGAATCCGAATCCGAAGACCACACCAGCGGCCAAGGGTGTCGCATCGGTATATCCGTCAACGACGGCTCCGGGGGCGCTCAATACAACGGCAGCGTGTGGGAGGAGGAGCACAATGGGCCCGGGGGATACGGGTTATACGGGGAAGGGAGGCAGCCCACCAACACCGACTGGATGATCTGGTCCTGCGATGTCTGCAACACCACCGTCAACATCTTTGCCCGCGACGACCATATCGCCTCCCGCTCTCACACCCGAGCGGCCAAGAAGCAGGCCGGACAGGAGGCGACACCGATGTTACCACAGGAGACGTATGTTGTGCCCGTGTGGCGGTGCGCGCTGTGCGACGAGGAGATGTCGGTCTTCCTCCGCGAGGAGCATGTGTTTGGGAGGCAGCATCTCCACTTGCTCCGGAAGCAGCAGGAGAGTGATGGTGGAGCTCATTCAAGAGCCCCGGACACGCCTCCCATGTCTGGGCAGCAGGAGGACGGTGGGGGGGTATATGTATACGATGGAGCTGTAGAGGTGGGTATAGCGGGTATAACCTTCGACGACGATATTCCGGACATACCCCCGCCAGCCTTTACCTCCTACGAATACAAACTGCGCGAGACGTTCTACTGCATCACCTGTGCCGGGGAGTTCGATCTCTCTCTGGAAGAAGATCATCTCGCTGACCTCGAAACCTGGGACTGCGCGCTGTGCGCAAAGACCATGCACTCCGCGGCAAAGGAGATGCATCTACAGAGCGAACGACACACGGCCATGGCGAGCATCTACGAGTCCCAGCCAGAAGACTTCAACTGCGAAGTTTGCCAGAAGAGCTATGCGCCGGTCGAGAGGGAGGGCCATCTCGCGGGGATGGAGCACCAGCAGATGGTCGCCCGCATCGAGCTGGAGCAGCGGTACATGAAGCGCCTGCAGGAGGTCAAGACTGCGCCGAAACACCCAGGCTCACTCCCGCCTACATTTCAACACACGACCGACAAGGGGAAAGGGGTTCAGGCCGATCCGACGGTGTGCGATTTATGTGGCGAGTCCCTTCTGTGCGTGCAGCTCGTCGCCCACCGCGCATGGCACTGTCCGCTCACCGGACCCTCCCGCGACCCTCCTTCCAACGCACCGGAGGGCCCCCCTTCCAAGGCAGTGCCAGAGAGCACCGGTACCTTCTTCTACTGCGACGTCTGCAACAAGGGCATGCAGCTGCCCAACAAGGCGGCGCACATCCAGGGCAAGAAACACCTAAGGAAGACCGCCAAAAAGGGCAAACGCAAGGCGAAAGACAGGTCGGAAGTTGCTGGAAAGCCACCAAAGACCCATAGCTCGAAAGGGAAGAGAAAGACAGAGGTGCCGGCAGATAGGGAGTACTGTGAGGTGTGTAATAAGTATACGCACGCGGCGGGAATGCCGGCACATGTCAAGAGTAAGAAGCATAAGAGGAACGCGGCGGCGAAGTTGTGGGCCGCGAAGGATCAGGGCACTGGCCCGCCGACTACGCAGATGGCGCAGACTCAACCGACACCGCCGGTCTCCCCTCAGCAGGTCCCGTCCCAACAGGCACCGGTGGTCTCGCCTCAGCAGGCCCCATCTCAGCTGCAACCACAAGTCCGGATCCCGCCTCAGCTATTCCCGCCTCAGCTACCACCCCAGGTCCCTCAGCTACCACCCCAGGTCCCTCAGCTATTCCCGCCTCTGCCAGTACCGTGGGTCCCGCCTCAACCGGCGCCGTTGGGCTTTCGTCAACCGCTGCCGCAGGTCCAGCCTCAGCCGGGCCGGCCGGTTTTGCGTCAGCTGGTGCGGCCAGCTCAGCTGGCGTCGTGGGCATTTCCTCCGCAGGTGCCGTTGGTCACTCCCCAGCCGGTGCCTCAGCCGGTGCCTCAGCCGGTGCCTCAGCCGGTGCCTCAGCCGGTGCCTCAGCCGGTGCCTCAGCCGGTGCCTCAGCCGGCGCCGCAAGTCCAGGCTGCCGCTCCGGCATTCGCAGACTCGCTATACGTGACGATCATGGGGGATAAGTTCCATTGTAAGGTCTGTAAGCGGGATAGGCAGCTTGTGGGGATAGAGTCGCACATGAAGAGTAAAAGTCACAAGAAGAAGGTACGTGGCTGCGGTGGGGTGATAGTGTGATGGGGATGCATCTGTTTGTTTGGTACATAGGTAGCGTTTTGGAGAGGGTCCTTAGTTGAGATGAGATATAGGAGAGGGCTTTGTGTGTTTGTGCTTTCTGTGGTGGCTTCTTTTAGGTCTAGTTGGTGGCTTTGGGGACGGGCCCTTTCGTTTCGGTGTTGGGGGTGGGTTTTGGAGGTTTGGTGATTCGCAGGAATATGCTTTGGCTTTGCCGTGATGAATGAGAATTGTAGCTTACTGACTGCTTGATTTCGATACGAACCTTTCCCTCTTTATCTCCCATTTCATTGGTCTCCACTGTCGAATGGTAATTATATGGGGCCATGGATAATATGCTTTATGTAGGCACAAAAAGCACATTACTGTAGCCCACGCCGACAGAGTTGAACCCCCAAACCCACCAGTAACATTGAGATAGATCACTTGCTACATGCTTCGATTTACAGCCGGATTTCTTGTTGATGAATGTGTATAGATATACATACAAAGCTTAGTCCCTATTGTCCCCAATGAAAATGAAGATCATGAAATATCACTCGATCATCAAAATTGACTCGGGTCAAGCTATACGTAAACTGTCGGAATTATGCTGCGAGCCTAGGAGCAATGTCCTAATACTCATATGAATGTCACTATGCAGTCATATATAGACTGGTCTAGGCACTATATCTTTGTATAAATAGGGTTTTATATGCCCCCCGTATTATAGTCAAGCAAGTCAATTGAGAAGGTGGGAAGTCTTCCGCATTTATTATTATTTATTATTATTTATTATTCTCTATTGCTATTTATTTACAACACAAACAACACCGTGTTCTAACTTCTAAAGTAATCCCTGAGCGAGTCAGGTCGGCTGAACACAGTTTTAATTGAAGGAGAGAGAGAAATGCACCGACCCGGTCCAGGCAGCAGCATCGGGCATGGATATGCGCAAACTAAACCAAGAGTAAGTACATCATCTGTGGATACCCGGGCTTGGCAAGTGGTCTTTTTTTTTGACTCCGGGAAGCAAACATTGGAGATAGGATTAACAAGAGCGACCCCCTCCGGCCCCCAGTCTTCTCCCACATATAATTGCAGCGACTCCTTCCCATTATAATTTACGATAGGATGATACCGTACCGCCATTTACAGTCAACATGTCGCTCTATACCTATGGGTGCTTGGTCTGCGACCGTACCTTTCGTACACCAAGGGGGAAAGTCCAGAACACCGCCTAGCCTATAACATCAAGGACCATGGCATACCTTGCAGGCAGATACCTCTAGAGGTGAAGGCCGTCTGGGAAACACGAGTGTTCTTGTCTATTAGTTCGTGGGAGATGCTGGCGGCTTCAGATCTTGATGCTGATAAGGTAGAGCGCGCCATTATTCGATACTTAATAGCTGTGGACTGTCACTTGTAAGTGGTATCATCGGATCCGTCTATAGAAATATGGTATTAATATGATACCCTTTAGCCCGGAAAACTCTCCACCCGCTCTAGCCGTTACTGCTGCAGCTCCGCTCACCTCCGCTGCAGCATCCCCCACCAAGCTCACCAAGGACACCAGCTAGCGGCACCGTTTTTCAGACGGATGGGAACCGACTGAGTATCCATGATTTGGCATCGTTTTTTGTTGATTTGGGCTTTCGGCCTGGGAGTAAGATACCCGGGTAGAGCTATTATTGTGAGGACTTTTGTGTCATGTTTTTGTATCATTGCAAAGAATCATTTTCCGGTTATTTAGCAAGGTCTGAATGGGTGGTTAGGTTATATGGAAATGCATGTTTCAGGTAATCGATTTCAATTCCTAGACCCACTATAAATATATATATCAATGCAATACGCTCTAAATATCCAAGAGAAGACGAGAAAGAACTTGGTCTTGTGTCTTTTCCGCCTGATGTCCATCGCTGCTGGTCTGGCTTGAATTTATTCACAAACGAGTGGCACCGTTATTCGAACATCATTCGAGAATTGGGCCAAAGATGAAAGAGACGTAGCCCCAACATTTAACGTGTAATTTGTTTACCGTTATTAGCACTGTCGGGGCAGCCGAAAACCTGACCGGCGGGAAGATGACCTGGCCCGCATTCCTCGACTTGTCCGGATCGGATTTGGAAATACGCGTGCCGGCGGTCCCCATGAAGGTGTTGGGCCCTATCGGAGCGGCAGGCGATTCACGATGCGCCACCCTTATACAGCTTCGAGTCGCCCCATGTGTCAATACTGATAGTGAAGCCGTTCCTATCTTCATTGGCGGAGCCCCTGATCTGGATGTGCTGCCCGCGGTCAATGTTGAGCGCGGTAAGCCATACGATGGCATTGGGGACGTGCTCCAACGGCGGCGAGAAGTCAATGGGCTTCAAGGTTATCGGGTCCAGCTGGGGGGAAGGGACGAACAATTAAATTCCTTCTTGAGCCTACCGCACTGGAAGTCGGGGTGTTTCTTCTGTACTGCAAGCCAGGTCGCACCGCCGGAGTAGAGCGTTGTGTTATTCTAGGTGTCCACGTGTATAGCGAAGCTCTTAACGGTGACTCTTGTCCGGGCGGCGCTGCATCGGACGTTGCGTCAAGTGACCTGAGTCCCACGGCGGTTCCAGTTAGATATTGTCGAAGACCACTTCCTTTTGGTTATTGGGTGGAGAGGGCGATACATTGTGCGGGGGTTGGGGCTTGTGGGGGGGGGGGGGGGGCGACGTCTTGTCAGAGCCTTCTGGGAAGACGAAGATACCTCTACTGCGGGCCTTGGTTGGGTAGGACTTCTGTATGATCTATTTATCGTAGCTGAACAGCTCGTCGAGGTTCTCCCCAGCTTTCATGTTGTTCAGGGTCCACTCGACGGGGAAGGCATATCTAATAAGTATATAGATATACCGATATGCAATGTGTTATTTAAAGGTTTGATTGGCCAGGTATTAGATTGCTTTTTCTTGGTAGTTTGATTAGTAATATTTTGAAAATATTATTTTTTCTTGATATAAGCAACAAATCGGGGACCTTACTTTTTCCTTCTATTGAATTCAGATAGGGACATTGCTTTTTCCCTCTATTGCTGTTAGTGGCGATTCGGGGGCAGGAACATTGCCTTTTCCCTCTATTGCTGTTAGTGGCGAATCGGGGAGTTTACTGTCTCCTTCTATTGAATTCGGATAGGGACATTGCTTTGTCCCTCTATTGCTGTTAGTGCCGAATCGGGGAGTTTACTGTCTCCTTTTATTGAATCCGGGCAGGGACATTGCTTTTTCCCTCTAATGATGTTATTGCTAATGATGTTATTGCTAATGATGTTATTGCTAATGATGTTATTGCTAATGATGTTATTGCTAATGATGTTATTGCCAATACGGAAATCTTACGTTGCCTTTCTATTATTGTTAGGGTTAGTCAGAGCTTTGATTGTTAGAGTTATAGTCTAAAGTTACTCTCGATCGCACATTATTTTTTAGTTAAACAATCAATTTCCAAACTCTCTGTCTACAATATCTCTTGATACGATGCCTCAAATATTCAACGAGAATACATCTACCGAAATTCACTGCATGCTTGAATTTACCAAAAAGACAGACAAAACTGGCTATCTCAAAATCTACGATTCTACTTTATTTTGCTGGAGCGATGATTTACAAATTCAGTAATCGATGAGGAAGATATACTATGCCAAATCATTTGTTTTGTCAGCAATTCTCTTACAGAATCCACCGAAAACTCTGTTGGAATATGTTCAGGCAGATTCTGCGATATGGGTAAAGACAAACCAGTTGTTATTACTTTACTGAATAAAAGCGAGTAAGTAATTTGATTTACTGTGTATTAAATTAGAACCAATAAATTTAACTTAGATTTGCTGGTGACCCGGCACATTCACGATTTGAGGATATAGCCTCTGCACCCTCTTGTGCCACTATATACTCAGTCGGGAAGGTTGCAGGACAATCTAAGGGTACTATCAAGTCTCTCCCTATAGGCTGTAGATCCTTTGATTTACTATCCTCCTACTATGATTTAGAGGCTGCCTCCAAATCAGCTTCCCGAAAGTATTTTGTAATCAGGTGGTATATACCATCAGGAAAGAGGTGGGAGAGCACAAAATTACCCCAAGTCGATAGTGTAATTTAAATCAGTGGGAGATTAGTTGGTAGAGTAATCGTTGATAATTCATCACTGGCATCACATTCTTTTCTTGGTTGTATAGTGTCGTCGTTAAACTGTATTTCAGTAATGCAATCTGGATCGGGATGTGGGTCTCTTGGACAAACCTTAGGGAGATTTGAGTCCAAAAATGTTGGAAGATCTTGGGGTGCTCGGGCTCAGAAAAGATCTGCGATGGATGATTCAAGTTTGAATTCAAGTTCTCCCCCCCTTCCAAAGACCATTGCTACCTCATTTTCTATTTCCAAACCTACTACACCAGCCAAAAAGAAAACTTCGACTGTATCTAATGACTGTGCTGTCGATGATGAGTTTGAGGAGATTGAGGATGGCATAATTGAGGATGTTGGTTCCGAGTAGTATAAGTTTGGTATTGGATATATAGTTTTCTGAGTCATCGTTAGCTATTTTATTTTTAGTCAGGAGAGTATATTATTTTCACGGATCGGTTGGTGGAGTCGTTGGGTTAAAGAAGAGTTGGATTAGTCAGGAGGTTTCTATCGTGTTCTTTGGGTTTCTGTTCGGTTGCGCGGTGTGAGTCATTGGGATTAGGCATCGCAGGATTTTCTTGGGTATAATAAGGGGGCTCTTCCTCGCTTCGTTCCTGTTTTCCTTTCTCTTCTTCTTTCCTTACGCAACGTCTTCTGTACTCCTCGCAACACCAAAACTTTCGAACAACAATAACTTTTGGCCTGCATTCCCGATAAAAAACTTTTACTCGAACACGATCCTGTATGTCAATAGACCGCGTAATCTATTGGTATCTCATCGCACATCTGTTCGTACGCGAAGTCATTCACGCTCTAGTCCCTGAGTTGTGATCCCCTCACCCCTCAACCCTCGCTTAAGCCTCGCGACCGTAGCGGAAAACAACAACCTGGCCTCACCAAACCCACCCAATCCACCAAACATTGCGGGAAGAAAGAGAACCTTATCAGAAGTCTTTCCTAACCCAACCCGAACTGGAACATCAGTAATGTCCCAACAAGCCTCCTTGAGCTCCTGGTTCGCAGGAGCCCCACCACCAGGAACACCCGCACCCCCCCGCTTCCCTGACACCCAGTCAACCCAACAAACACAATCCACCACAGTGGAACAAACCCAACTCGGCAATGAACCCTTCTCTATCTTCGCCGAACACACCCAATACAACGAGCCGTACGCACCAAAGTACGACTACATTCACCCCAGCATCGTCCCTGACGAAACCCACGCCAGGATGGACCTAAACTACATATCCTGGGTAGTTAGAAACGCCCTCACCGTAGCGCTTGAACCCATCAACCAAACGACGGAGCAAATCAATAAAGGCCTAAAAGCCACCATCGAAGTCCTATCCGTCCAAAACGAATCCCTCAAACACACCGTTGACATCCTGGCCAAACAAATGTTTGAAATGACAAAGAACCAGGACAAAACTTCCGAAAAACTCCACCGTCTCCAACAACAACTCACCAACCTCTCCGTCAACAGACCCAGCAACCAAGCAGTCACTGAAGGGAAAACCTCTGCAGCCGCCGCCGTCGCTGCCGCCACTATCACCGCCCCTACCACACCCGCCAACAACCCCAACCACCCCCAACAGCCAAAAGGGAAAGCACCGACTCCGCCGGCACAAAAATCTTATGCGGCCGCCGCGGCAGGAAACACGAATCCCGAATTTACGACCGTCACAAACAAGAGGAAAAACAAACCCAAGGCAGACCCCCTTTTCAAACCGGAAATCACCAAACTCAACCGGGAAATTGTAATTGAAACAAACAAAGAACCCTCAGTCACCCCATCGGACATCAGAGCCAAAATAAACGCAAAAATCCAGGACCCCGACTGCCAACTAATCGCTGCCCGGAAAACAACAAAGAACAACATAATCCTGGAATCAAAATTCGCAACCCCAGCAACAAAGGTCCTCGAATACAAAAAGGAAATTGAAACCGCCCTAAACGAACTAAAAATACCTTTCGTCGACATCCGGGTTAACTCCAGATGGTCGAAATTCATTCTCCACGGCATCCCTACCTCCATAGGGGAAGCATTTGACGCAGGACAATTTCTGGCTTCGGAAATCAGAAACAATTACGGCAACACCTTCGAACTGGCACAAATCCCGAGATGGCTATCAAAACCAGAAGCCAGAATTGGGAAATCCCACTCCTCCATGATCATCGCCCTCCCCGGTCAATTCACCAAAGAAAACCTCGGCCTCCGGTACCTCACCCTCTTCGACAGAAACTGCAAAATCGAGAGCTACCTCCCCGCAAACCCAGAAACCCAATGCGCCAAATGCCTCGAATATGGACATAGGCAAGAACGCTGCTCCCACAACAACGGAAGATTCGGACACTGTGCCGAGGAACACCAAACCAAGGACCACCCATGCACAGAATGCGCTGGAGGCCTTAGATGCTCACACACACCCATCCGATGCTACCATTGCAAGGCCCCCCACAAAGCAACAGACAGCAACTGCCCAGAACGAACCAAAGTACGAATCACAAACAGACTCGGACCAGACACAAACCCAACCCCGCTACCAATACCCATAGTTATCCCGGCCCAAGACCCCCCACAGGAAGACGCAGCCATGGATAACTCCCAATGAGTTACAACAAAAGGACAACGGCTATCGCACAGCAACTGAACTGCGCGAAAAATGAGCTCACAACAAAGTCAGTAGTGGAGGAAGCAGAACAGGACCACAACATACTTTTTCTTTTGTTACAAGAACCATGGAATAATAAAGATGGCCACCCACCGGAATCCCCCCTTTTTTACCTCTTCACAGCCAGCAACAAAGGCACTAAAGCCGCTACATACATCAGAAAACACGCCAACCTAAAACCAAAACACCATTACACACACAATAACTTCATCGTCTCCGTCACGGTGGAAATCCAAAACCAAAAAACACAAATCCTCAACATATACTCACCAGGACGAAGCGGACCCTTCGCAGAAATCTCCCGATAAATAATCACCATCCAAAATTGCCTCGTCATGGGAGACTTCAACAGCCACCACCAACTCTGGTATGGACATAGATCTCACGACTACACCAACACGATTAGAGCAGACAAATCGGGAGCCAAGAAGCTGAAAAGATGGACATACCGACAAAAGTTATCCCTACTCAACGAGCCAGGCGAATTCACACATTTCCCCAGGAACAACAACAGACCGACCATCATCGATCTGACATTTGTAAAAGGACCAGTACTGGACCAAGATATCCGCTGGAACATCGACCGACATGGGGCAGGTTCTGATCACGGAAAAACAATCCTGCAACTACGAATAGAGAAACCCCCCCACATCCCCAGGAGACTATGGCATC